CGTTGCTGATAGCCAACTGGTTCCAACGAAAACCCTTGGGACGCACAATTGGTAGTCTAGCTGTCTGACTGTCCCAGCCATTTCCTGACTTCTCCCTGACACAGAGGCACCGTTTATCAGCGTCATACGATAATGAACAAATTTTTGTTTGTGCCCACGGGTGTCTTTGTGCCGTGTCAGCAAAAGGGCCACAGTGATGAAGCTCGTTGTTTCCTGACAAAGGCCATGGCAACCACGCTCTTAACCTTTGAACTTCCTCCCTCCCCCAACTGAATCCAAGTTACCCCCCGTGAGGTCTCGTGGTGCCTAGTGAAAATTTCCGCCTTTTTCCTGCTGGTTGATCGAACGTTTTATAGGGGTGTCCCAAAATCACTTGTGCCTCTTAAAAGTTAGATACTTTCTTTAAAATTAAATATTCAGCAATAATTTTTATGTATTCCTCGACCCCGCATGGATTGGTGATTTAGTTGTAAACAAACTTTATACACAATGAACTGGAAAATCGGCACCCCAAGAAGTATAATTCGGTAGAAGAAGTTCTTTGGGAAACATTGGTTCATTGTGTAAATTTTCGACACTGGCACACCAGTGTTAGCCATGATTTTTAATTAACTGTTTCGTACAATTTCCATCCGTCTGACGACGACATGGTGTGCCAGTGTCGAAAATTTACACAATAAACCACTGTTTCCCGAAGAACTCCTTCTACCGAATTTACACACAATGTTTACTATGTGCAAATGTTCGAGGTCCAGGTATAATATTGCTTTCATCATCCCTACAATTGCCCCATCTTCTTCCTCTTCCGGGGACGATGAAAGCAACAATGTTTACTGTACAGTAAAGCAGTACAGAGATAATAGGAAACTTGTGGTGGCCCACGCTCAGCACCTGGCGTTCCGGGCATGTCAAGGATTATTTTTATGCAGGACGGAGTCACAGCTCACAAAGCTCACACAGCTCTGGAGATCCAGAGGTTGCTATCGAAGAAAAATTCCACATTTCCTGAAGGAAAGACACGTCGTCAGCAAATAGTCCTGACTTGAATGCAGTTGAAAATCTATGGTCAATTCTTGGTAATATGGTCGACAAGGAACTGTCTATGCCTACTATTGTTGTTGGATTGGAGAGATCCCTGCTGGAGGTCTGGAGAAAGATCCCCTTGGAGACTCTCTAGAATCTTGTTCATTCGATATCAAGTGAGGTGTCCTCAAGGTCAAAGAAAAAAATTTCCTGTAAAGTAAACTGTAGGTTATACTTTACTTTAGAAACTGTGAGGGTGTTATTAGGATGCAAAGAAGGTCGGGCCGGGCCTTATTTTAAAAACTGCATCCTTATTAAAGCCAGTCAGTTCGCCAGACCGGGTGACCTTTTTGATTCCGAACGTGCCACTATGGAATTTAGCGAATCGATAGTAAACGGTTATGTCAGGCAAATGTCACGAACGGCTTTGTCAACTTTGAAGCCTCGAGTGAGAATGAAAGGCAGCAGGTGTCGAAAGCGCTCGCTTTTTACACTTGCTCATTTCACACTTAAAGATTATGAAGGAAAAAAAGGCGCCAGTAGACTTTTAAAGCTGGAAAAAAAGTATTTTTGAATACTAGGTAAGGCTCGTCAGAACAAAGCAAATTTGTGGAAAAAACGTGTATTTACGAAACTACAAATATAATTAGATGGCCCACTATGCGCTGTTGATAAATCTCGAGGCGCACAGTCATTCGCTCGATTACAAAGAGGGGGGGGGTGACAAGAACAGGCCGACCTCTTTTGAAAGGAGCATGATTCAGCGAGGGCTTGCCTCCGGGGGTACTGAGTAGGTTTGTAGCGGTTCTACAGCCCACCTCTTTCAAACTCGAGACGCCACTGACTTGGTCGCCCAGTCGCGCCTTT